AACTAGCAGTTGACTTGCAAGGACATCTTAACTACTGCTGCGACATTTTAGGCAACCGTAAAGCAAAAAAAGTTGTTCTTCCTTATAAATATAGAGATAATTTACTCTTCAAAAGGATAGAGCTGAAGTAGTCGGGAGGTCATTAGCAGATGGATCTGCTAAGTTCTTTTAACTTATTTTCTCTGTCTTAAAGACTAAGCATATGCTTTATTTTTAATATGCTTTGATCTGGTTCAGAATGAAAATACTGAATCAGGCAAATCTGTGTCTGATATTACGAGAAACTGTACGAAAGACCTTCTAACCTTCATTCAAAGTGTTCGATATCTCTTAAATATTTTTAGTAGAGAATATTTATTGTGATTAAAGCGCACAGCGCCAATGAAAGTCCAGAATTAATATATATTTTATTTTTTTCTATTCTACTTAGAAAATCTTGATTCCAGTATTATTACTGCAATATTAACGGACCTTAACAATTCGCTACCTTAACTTCGGCATGATGTAGAATATTTTCATAATTCTTTTTCAATATATTTGAAATATATGGTTAATATTGTATATTAATTGTATATTAAATTTTGGGAATGTCATGGTATCATGAAAAGTTTGCCAACGAATTACATATAAATATGAACGGTTCGAATTGTGTCTTCAGTTGCTAATTCTTTTGTCATCCTCTTCTCTGTTATCACTTAGTTTTATATATAATAGAATTGCTCAATTAACTGATTTAATAGCACCTAATAGATTCTTGTTCTCAGCTTTTATGCTTTCATTCAATACATAAAAACTTTTGACCACTAACTCAAATTTTGATATGCACTATAGACTTAATAACATTTGTTCCCTTACCGTACTTTTGTTTTCAACCTAAACGAAGCAAGCATTTCTAGTGGAACCATTTGTCAACTTTACATTTAATAAGAGGAGCAACTAACAAACTATGTCGAAAATTTGCACTCCATGCATAAGAACGAAGCTCCACGAAGTATGCGCGGACTTAAATTGAATGATCACTTTCCGGTGTGTTGCGCTACACCCTTTTCAAACGTGCACTCCGTCTCTCCGTTTCTCTGAAACAAAATGAATAAAGTAAATAAATGGAAGTAATGGAGATGGTAATGGATGTGGAAGTAAATGGATGTGGCTATGGATGTGGATGAAGAGTGTATGTGGACGTGGATAGATATGTGCGTTTGTACGTAAGTGAAAATTTTCTAAATTTCACACAAATCATTGTGCTGTCATAAGTGCTAAATTGCTATGCATTTTGGTGGCCAAACGATAGTGCTGGAATTGATGCTGGATATGTGCCACGGTTGTGTGTATGTAGCAGTGGTAATTCGACAACGACGATGATGACGATGATGACGATGTTGATGATTTGGCTGTTGTTGGATATATGGCAACATATTTTTCAGATGTAATAATGTGTGCTTGCAATATTTTCCAATGCGCGCAGCAAATGGACAGGCGTATAGACCGACCGACAGATAGAAAAATGAATGCAGTAAATATGTGGGGGTGAGTGAAGAGGTATAATACATGACATGTTATTTGTTTGTACAACAATGAAGTTAACACGCTACGGATGCGAATCCAAAGTACTAGGTACTCAAAATGAAGCTACAGCTGTGAGTATGGACACACTGCATAAAGCAGTCTTGTTAGTTGCACATTCATATAATTGAACATGTTGAGTAAACAAAGACAGGGCAACAATAAAAACAATAATAACAAGATCGACACCGACATAGACACCGCTAAAGGGCACAAAAAACGGATGATAAAACAAGTACCAGCAAAGTAAGTGAAGAGTACAAATAATTCACAAACTCTGCACTCGTATATGCGGCAAATGCGTTACGGCATAAGCGTCCATAAGACGAAGTCTGTTGCATTGGTGCTGATGCGAATTGCTTCAAAATGTAGCCGGGACTGGAAGTAAAGACTTTATTGAGTGTGTAAATAAATTGAGTGCCACGATAAATAAACCATTTTCAATCAGAAAAACATTCTTTGTACCTTTCTGTTCTCCAGAAATGCTAAGTATATTTGTTTTAATGTTTTTTTTTTTTAATTTCTGTTTTAAGATACTTTAATAGATAAATCACGGACTTTGTAAAGCCCCCCTCTAAACTTAACTGTGAAACTTTCTATTATCTTGATTTTTTATTATTATTATTGTTATTATTGTTTCTCATTTCGTGCACTGTTATTTATTTTCTTTTTGTGTTTTGTTTTTAAATTTATTAAAATTAAGCCGCGGGTAATTTTTCGTATTATAATTCTTTGCTCTATAACAAACGTTGCCGCCCATTATTTACGCCCCATGGTGCGGTTGGCATTCTACAAAAAAGACAGCACCTACAATAACAGCAGCAGAACAAAGCCATAGAACTCTGCTGTCGTTGTGCATAGTGCAAGAGACACAGACGGATATGCATGGAGAAGAAACTACCGACAGCAAAGTAGCAGAGCTACAAATAAGGCATAAAGCAATTTTATATCTGCCGGATACGTTGCTGATTGTTGTTGTTGCTGACGTCGATGCTGCGAATGCTGCTGTTGGATCTGGAGCTAATGTTATAGCTGTTGCACTCATCAGAGCTAAATATCTCATACTCTGCATATTAACACACTCGCATTCGTATTCATATCCGCACCCGTACTCGGATTCTCATCCGTACTCCTACGTATGTACGATTCACTACGTACTCTTCTGCATAGAGGCCCTCAACATGTTTTAACTGACTTAGGTGGAGATTTATTATTTATTATTATGAATGAATGAAAGAGCTCACAAAGTGCACAGTGCTCGAGTGCTACAGGGTCATTAAGCTGAAGTGGCAATTCATTAATTATACAAGCTCAAGTGTGTGAGTGGTGGCGGCACTGTCTTCCATGCAGTTACTTACATACATATTCATATCATATTCAGATTTTATGAAAATAAGTGAGTGTCTAACCCAAGCCGTCAACCCACCGAACTGCCGACGAAGGAAGCCAGCGTAAATTAGTTGAAAACAAATGAGATATACGCATTAATGTCCTTTTAAATGAAGTGCTACGTTTGCATGTCAGTTCGCGGTGTCATAAAAGGAAAGACGACACTGCATTCTGTAATTTGCAATAATGCCAATTAAGCGCTTTTATATATCCTGTTGCTCTAGTTTAGCTACATCTGCATAGATGTCCGCATGGATGTGTGTAGCTGTGGCTCAAAACTCCATCGTTGCAAGTATGAAAAAGAAGTTATCTCCGGATGTCATTGTAGTTTTTTACACTGCTCCATTGGTGCTCAGCTGGGATATTTCTGTTTATGTTTTATGTTTAATATGAGACAATAGCGTGAGTTACCAAAAACTGCAGTCATAAAGTTGGTAAGTTATGACACTGTGGACTAGTTGGGATTATAATTTGAAAATTTGTGCATCCTGCTTTTATGCAACGTTTCGGCTATAAATTTAAGGACCGCTTAGATATCAAGCAGGATTCTTTGCAATAAGTTTTGAGGACATTAAAAATTTAATTTCGTTTGAATATATTCATTCATTAAATTTAATGAAAACTCATAGAAAAATTTAAGTTCATCACATTAAAAAAGTAATTATTTTTGAATAAGAGAACACAAGACCCAACTAATGATTAAAGAATTGTGCTTCTTATATCTAAAATCTGAATTTGTAATGGTTACTGGTTTGAAAGTGTAGATATGTTGTTAAAATTTAATTATTGGTTGCTATGATAAAAACAGAATGCATTTTAGAAAACAAATTTCTGAAGTAGACCTTAATCAAGTTTGAAGGTAGTAAATATTTTTGTTTGTCAACAAGAAAATTTTCAATATTTAAATATTAGTGAAATATATTTAATATTAAAATAATATGTTGAATATGGGTAATGTTTAATTTCTCATATATTCTCATATATTTTTTATGTTGTTTTTTTAACGAATATAATTTGCTATAGACTAAACAACAAAGAGCCAATCATTTCCTATTTGTCATGTTACTACTTGAACCTTAAACTATTATAGGTGATAATACCTATATACTTATTCTATTCTATTCCCCCATCTAGCATATTCTACTACCTTTGCTATAATCTATTCTACTGTATTTTAGTATAACAGCGAAATAAATGTATCACAATCTTACATTTATTTTCTTCAGTATTTAGACCAAGGAATACACCCATGCCACACTCATCAGGGAAAGCGTGGGAATACATTTACCAATATCAATACATAAAGCATATAAATTATAGTCATTGTCTTATACAATACTGATTTCTAATTTATTTTTCTTATTATTTCAAACAAATTTTGAATTATATATGACTAAAAGCAACTTAAACCTCATTAGCATTTTAAATACTTTTCAAATTCAAGGTGCACATATATATTATATTTGTTATTAACCTCTGTCGTCACATTTCGGTCATATAATAGAGATAGAAAATAATCCAGAAATGAAATACATAGAAGATGGATCAATATAAAAACATATATTAAAATTCGACTCTGATTATCAAGAACGAAAAATACTAGACAGGCAATTATAACTAAATTTTTCATTCTTAATTCAAATAAAAACTCGTAAAACTATAAATCCATACTTAGAAATAAATAGAATATGCCAGTGTTGGTTTATTCTACAATGACAAAAAATATGTATTTGATATTACTAATAATATAAATACAGGTCTTATATGCTTCTAAGCAACTTAGTTAGTTGCTAGTTCCTCTTTGCAGAGTGTAGCGCAAAAAGATAAGCGAATTCGATTATTAATAAATACTTTGATATTTCCGTAAATATTAGCTTAATCGCACTATTATTTATTAAAACTTAAGCGAAAGATAAAATATTTTCAGTTCATTTACAAAACGAAACACAATAGATTAGCTATTTAAACCTAATCAACTATTGATAAGAAAACAGTTAAGCGAAACTTACCACCAAATGACTAAAATTAGTTTAAATTTGTTACTCAATACGTCCTAAACATAATAGCATTTCTTGATTTTAATTAAATTTATTTAAAAATGAAAGTATATTCGATAATTTGTCTAATTTCCGTTGCATTCAGTGTGAGTATCTTCTATTCCCCTGTATTGAATTTGGAAAAATTTTTCTTATCTTTTATAAATTCAGTTGCACGAGGTTGTCGCCTATAAGGAAATTACAGGTATTTTGGATAATGCGAAAGACTTGACACCAGAAGAAATTAATGCACTTCGCCCACTTTTCAATGACTTACAATCACAATATGATTACATTGTAAGCATGGGAACAGATGATACAAATATGGAGGAACTTTACGATGCAACTTTCAATGAATACTTTGCAAGCTTTTTCGAGTCTGATGGAGAAACTATGGGCTATGATACTAGCTTGCCGACTGTAGAAGAACTTATAGGTGAATCCACATACTTCTCAACACTTGAGGAACAAAAAGAAATGTCAGATCTGCAAAGCATTTTAGAAGATACCTTAGAGGAAGCGCAAACAAGCATTGATGAATTAGTTAAACGAGCTATCACCATTGAGAGTCAGTTGCTCAAACTCAATAAGCCAAAAATTGTTACTTACATCTACAAAGCATTGGGCGTGGTCTTCAAAGTTGCAGTGCGCGTATCGCGTGCTGCTTATTGCACGTATTCACATATACCACAATTGAATACTTCATTGCATAATATATATGATGGCATTGATTGTTATAGCTACACCAGCAAACTTATTTTGAAGGTACAAACTCAGACTGTAAATACGGTCTTAACCATTCGGAAAAATGTTTACAACTTGGCTGACGTATATAGAAAAGTAGCTGGTAAACAGTCATTAGTTGGCAAGATCACGACAATAATATTGAATGTATTTAAAATTTTGAGAAACATAAGGGAAGCTTATACCACTGCTACGCATGCTATGGATGCACTTCAAAACGAACTTCCCGATGCAGCCTTAAAGTCAGTGAATTGCGGAAAGGACTTTGCTGCTACAATTCCAGATACTATTGCAACTGTTACAGAACTTACGACTTGCATTGCCTTTGTGGATGACAGCAAAGAAGATTACGATTTCATGAAACCGGTAAATCAAACCAGGATAAATAGAGATATAAAACGAAAGTAGAAGTATTGCTGACAGTACCTTAGACTTCAATGTAATTGAATTTATTTATAATTGTAATAAATAAAATAAAAATTATAAATAAAGCTTGAGAATGCTGCATCAGTAGAAGGTCTTCAAATGTATATGTGTTATGGTATTCCCTTACAATATAATTATAATTATTTTATTTATTTTTTTGGAAATTGCCAGTGTTAGGTTAGGTTATTATGTTGATTCCAGAAAGTGTGTTAACTGCATGTACTATTAATTCCGGAAAATTTAAAATCTGTTCGAATCTAGTCAGGTCGTGTGACTGACTAAGATCCACTAGAAAGTAGGTCTCCAGCATGTTTAAACTAAGTTGTGTGATTACTGAATAAAAAGCAGATGTGTTAATATGAATAATAAAACTTTTCTTTGAAGACAGTAATATAGGTATAAGACTTTCAGTACTCTATTTAGCTACATATCCTATTATTTTCAATATGTTTTATTTAGGCAGTATTGGTGTGTAGGAGAGTAGTCTTAATATTTTCCATTCAATATCAGTAATATTGAGAAATATTTTAATTGAAATTTAGTTTTTTGCTTAGATATTCTTAGTATTTTATTTAATCCACTCAATTCATAAATATTCCTGTTAAAGTAAGGCCATATCCAACTTCTAAAAACTTCAGAATGAGTTTCTTAAATTTCAATATCATTAATTTTATCATTAATAACTTTTTAATTTAATTTATGAAGTTTCAAATAAGCTCATTATATTTTTTTTGTATATGTAAGCAAATTTTGAATACTTAACGTAATATTAGTCGTATTAAAAGGTTTATGTAAAAAGTTTTTGTATATCATATTTGAGTAGAAAGTTATATATGTAGGTATATATATATAATATTAGCTAAACACAAGGGTATATGCGGTTTATGTAGAACATTTTTGAAAACCTGTTTCAGTAAGAAACATTGCATTGCATTGCAGAAAAACTTAAATTTAGTTCTACGTTGAAGAAGAAATTAAACTTGGTATGGTTTTATCTATATATCGATTATTTATCGATAATAAATTTGCACTCTACTAATAATGGTGTGGGAGGGAAGCTTTTCTGTTAGTATTTATGGGATTAATATGAATTTTGGTTGGTTTAATATATTTCTGTGGTTTTCATGCACGAAACGCCTTTCAAATTTTTTATTGTTAATTAAGTTATTGGAATATTTTTAAATTGTTTTATGTTTCTTTTTGTTAATTACAATACAATTATTTGGTTGTACTACACCGATTATATAATTAATTATATCATTAACACGTTATCAAATTATAGCTCTTAGCTACAGCTTAATAATTAATACTTATTACTTTTCATTGAAGACAAATTAGTAATTATACTGTTTGACTATCACTAATTATAAGAGTGCTAAACTGTAGGTTAATAATTACCGTGTTTAGATTTACATATCACTAACGATGACTTAATCACAACTTCGATCGAAATTCAACAATTAAAAAAAACAATGACTTAATATTGATTTAACGCGAAGACTCTTGAGAGGAGGAAATGCTTTAATGAGGACGATTGTGGATCACACTACAGACTATTACAAAAATAGCTAATTATATGTACAAAAAGCTAGACATAAGCTAATACTTACTTGAACAAATTATCTTGTAATAAGAACAAGTTTTCATTTGAGAATTATTTAGTAATTGCACTTTCTATATACTGACTTATCAGTTGAGCTATCTGAGCTGTTCGTACAAGTTGATTTTTTAGCTAAGGATTTGATGTGCGCCGGTTGCTTTACAATAGATTTCTTGCCAATTTTGGTGAATTCTGATTTTATGATTGATACTTCGAGATCTTCTTTTTCTTCAACAAAAAGTAGAGGTTTACCAGAGTTAGTTGACCGGTCACTGTAGGTTGAATAATCGCCAATCGAAGTTAGGAATTCAATCTAACTCAAAGTGCAGATACTGTAGTGAAGAGAGAGAAACTGCATATGAAGTGCTTGGGAAGTGCCCGGCAATAATGCACAAGGATCCAAGACTAGGAAAGATAGGTTCTATATTGTCTTTCATTTAAGAAAGCGGACTAGGAGAAACACTCTAATTCAAGTAAGGGGTACAATAGATCTTTTCGGTCGCATTGCTCTATCCCTTCTCTTCAATAATAATAATAGTTGTTAATAAACTAAAATTAAACCGAATATCGTTTAGAATTTAAACTCACCGAACACATGAGTTATTTAAAGTACACATGTATATACATACAATCAGAGATAAGAGTTTAAATACTCCCTTCTAGTTAGGACTTTGAAGAAGAGATAATATTTTCGGTGTTATTTCATTTTACAAGTAATAATAAACAAAAAGAATTTACCTATCGCAAACATACCGGTAAATATTATTAAAATACATTCTATAGAACAAAAATATACAAAAATTAAGCGTAGATGTTTATGCACTTATAGGAAAATAAGAAATTTCTGAAATAATTGAGATGATAAGGCAATCACATTTCTTCATTAATTCAGCATAAATTTGCTGTGAAAAATATCAATGACTTTTTTATGAATTCTAAATTAAATTATTTTAATTTTTTAAAATTGAATAAATATTCTTACTTGTTTTTAATTGCTTAGAAGTACCAAATCCTTTAAAGATCTTACCTCTTCCACCGAACACCTCTTTGCACCGATGAAAGGTAATCGAAAGCAATTATTTTTATAACCCACTGAACAGCAGCTTCCAAATAAAATAAAATATGGTGAAGAAGAAATGGAAAAATATAAAATTCTAATTTGAATTTTAAACAAATAAAAAAGTTTTTTTCGCTTTCAGTTAACAGCAAAACCTTTTAAGGGAAATTTTTCAATTAATATTTTTTTTTTCAGAACTTTTGTCATATTTTTTTTAAAAAATTTTTTATATTTTTATTTTTTATAATTTTTTATATATTTTTTTGCAATCTTGTTGCTGCCAACTCCTCCAACAATGAAATGCTAAACTTTTTACGTGTTTATGTGTGTGCGTAACTTTGTCTATTTAACAGTAAAGTTGGCTGACTGCTTTCAACATGGTGCTCTTCATCATCATCATTATTATCATCAACGAAAGTAACACTAAGGCAACAACAACATCAACATATAATACGAGTATTAAGAATAGAACTGAGTTAAATATTAGCAAAAGAAAAAATAAAACAGCAACTACCAATATTCCTAAAATCAAGAACAACACTAAATGGGAAACCAAGACAACAAAAACAACACAGTGCCACTGTGGAAAAGGAAGCAAACTAGCAACAGCCTTCGTTAGTTTAGCTAACAAAAACAAAAAATGCTTAAACCGCTAACAACCATGTGGCACTCCAAAAATTGTATAGCAAGTTCGGTTGAAAGCGACTAGAGCTCGGCAACACACCCCCACACGCTCCCCTCTAATGTATTTTTTAAAAATAACAAATTATTTGTTTGATATTACTTTTATATATTTTTTTTATTTTGCGTTTGCAATTTTTTTCTCATTTAAATTATTGTGGCGAACTTTCAAGCTGCTGCTACTACAGTATTGTTATTGTTGCACTGCAAATTTGTTGCTATGCAATGGTTGCGAAATTGTTGGTACTGCTTTAGTTAAAACATATTGTATATTTGCCAACAACAGGACAGATTTGTTACTTGTTGTAAGAAGCGACATTTGCTAGATAACTAGAACAAACGTGGTGCTTATGCTTCGCCGCCCTTCTTGGCTTGGCCTCTTGATTTTGATTGCAATTATTCCTGTAGCTGTTGCTTTGTTGTTGTTGTAACTTTCTGTTATGTAGTTGCACTTGCAACAACATTTCATATTGCTGCATTTAGTAAGGCAATTTAAAACGTATATAATTTGGTTGTTGTTGTTGCTGTTGTATTTAATTTTCAAACATTTTGGCTACTCTTTCCTCGCATTTATTTCTTTACATTAATTTACTTATTTCTTTGTATTCTAACAGCTGTTGTTGTTTTTATTATTGTTTTAAGTTTCATTTGATTGTGTTTTAATTTCATTTAATTTTTGTCTTCTTTTGAAATTAGTTCTTCTCAATATTAAAGTGATTTAATTGTAAAGACAGCAAGTATTATTTCCTTGTATTTGTTAAAGAAGTTTACCCCTACAATTTTCGTTGGTCTGTTTGGGTTTATAGAAAAAATTTAATGTTAGATTATACAAAGTTAATATTAGTTTATCTTTACCTCGAAATATTTAGATATTATTGATAAATTATTAATGTTATCGGCACAAAAATTGAGACTTTTAATATCAATCAACGCATCAGCTACTTTTAATCTTGATATATTTATTTATTATGAATAGATAGCAGATAATATTTTATACATACAGCTAGTGAGACTTTTTATGTGTACACCTTCTTGACACCTTAATATAATTATTGTTACATATTTAACTAATCCAAGTATGTAGACATATAGAGAATTTGTATTAATGCATATATCACAAGATGTAAATTACCATGAAAATATTACATATACCAAATAACATAGCAAAGCTTAAATTAATATGGAAACTTATTAGCTTCTCATGTGTACAGCCCACAAAATGTCGTAAAGGCACTTTAAGTTTCTTATAAATTCGCCTTAAAGCAAAAAGCAAATTGCCTTAAATTCTATTTGTTGTTATTATTGTTTTTGTGATTGTGTTGTTGATTGGTGTAGTTTGTGTAATTGTATTGTGCAGTTTCAATTATCACATAATAATAAACTTCTTTGTTTTTATACAATTATATTTTCATTTTGTAATATTTGTGTTTTTTTAATTTGTTTTTTTTTTTTTTTTCACACTACCTTGTACTGCTTTCATTTGAAGTGCATAGTTTAAACTAAGAAGTGAGGAAAATGAAAAAAAAACATTAAAAAAAAACAAAACAAAAAAGAATTATCATCCTGCTTACTTTGCCGTTAAGTACGTTGTAAGTAGATCTTCGTATCTGTGCCATCGTTTTGTCATGCTTTTGTTATTGTAATTGATGCAATTGCGCCACGGTTGTGTTTATTTTACTTAAGAATGTGGGTTGGCATTATTTTGTTTGTCGGAGACA